TCGGCTCTAATCTTGCTTGGAAGACCATTTTTGAAGACGGCTAGGATGAAGATCGATGTGTATGCAGGAAGTTTGACAATGGAGTTTGATGGAGAAACAATAAGTTTCAATATTTATGATGCAATGAGATATCCTAGTGATGTTTCATCTTTGTAATTTGTTGATGTTGTTGAACCAATTACTCAAGAATTGTTTGAGTTATCTAACAGTGATATATTGGAGATGATCTTAAGCAAAGGATTCGATTGTGGGAAGCTAGCCGAGAAATTAAAGCTTTATTCTTTGGATCTGGAAGTTGAGAAGTTGGTAAATAAAATGGAGATGAAGAAATCCACAAGATTAGATGTCAAACAAATTGATTTGCCCCCAACTCATACAAAATTGCCTCCGTCCCTTGTTCAACCACCCGAGTTGGAATTGAAGGTCCTACATCAACACTTGAAGTATGCCTACTTGGGAAAGAATGAAACCCTTCCGGTTATCATTTTAACTCACTTAACCGAATTTGAAGAAGAGAAACTCCTCAAGGTGTTGAAGGAGCATAAAGAAGCCATGGGTTGGACGATTGCGGATATCAAAGGATTGAGTCCCTCCACTTGTATGCATAAGATCTTAATGGAGGATGAATGCAAGCCAAGTAGTGGCGCGCAAAGAAGGCTGAATCCGCCAATGGTGGAAGTGGTCAAGAAAGAGATTTTAAATCTCCTAGATGTAGGAATGATCTATCCAATCTCGGATAGCAAATGGGTGAGCCCGGTGCAAGTCATTCCAAAGAAGACGGGAATCACGGTGGTCTAGAACAACAAATGTATGATGGTCTCCACCCGTGTGCAAAATGGGTGGAGAGTATGTATTGACTACTGCAAACTCAATGCAAGTACACAAAAATATCATTTTCCATTGCCTTTCATTGACCAAATGTTGGGAAGGTTGGCAAGGAAATCCCATTATTGTTGTCTAGACGGGTATTCCGGTTTTCACCAAATCCCGGTGGCACCGGAAGACCATGAAAAGACAACTTTTACATGTCCATTGGGCACTTTCGCATAACGTAGAATGCCATTCGGATTGTGTAACGCCCTGACCACTTTCCAACGTTGCATGGTTAGTATCTTTTCAGAATATATCGAAAATATAATTGAAGTTTTTATGGACGATTTCACGGTATATGTCAACTCCTTTCAAGAGTGTTTGACCAATCTCACCAAAATTTTAAAAAGATGCATTGAAACAAATTTGGTTTTAAATTTTGAAATGTCATTTCATGGTGAGTCAAGGTCTCATTTTGGGTCACATTGTGTCAAAGAAAGAAATCGAGGTAGATAAGCCAAAATCGATGTTATTCAAAGCTTACCTTACCCGACTTGTGTTCGGGAAGTTCGTTCTTTTTTAGGTCATGTCGGATTCTACCGAAGGTTCATCAAGGATTTTTCAAAGATAACAAGACCAATGTGTCAACTCTTGCAAAAGGAGGTTGATTTCGAGTTCAATGAGGCGTGCAAAGAAGCTTTTGACAAGCTCAAAGAGTTGCTTACATCCACTCCCATCATGCAAGCACCAAATTGGGATCTCCCCTTTGAGATCATGTGTGATGCAACCAACTATACGATAGGCTCCGTTTTGGGTCAAAAGAATGGGAGGGCCTCCCACGTGATCTATTACGCATCAAGGACACTAGACAATGCTCAAAGCAACTACTCTACTATGGAGAAGGAGCTTTTGGCCATAGTGTTCGCTTTGGAGAAGTTTCGGCAATATCGACTTGGCACCAAAGTTATAGTGTATTCGAATCATGCAGCTCTCAAGTACTTGATGACAAAAAAAGATGCAAAGTCAAGACTCATCCAGTGGATCTTATTATTGCAAGAATTTGATTTGGAAATTCGGGACAAGAGTGGATGTGAGAACCTTGTTGCCGACCACTTAAGCCGGATCACTTCAAATGAAACTCCTCTCCCTTTGCGGGACGAATTTTCGAATGAGCATCTATTTTACCTTATTCAATCCACTCCTTGGTATGCTGATATCGTTAACTTTTTGGTCACAAAAAGGTATCCCAACACATTCACATGTGCTCAAAAAGACAAGCTCAAAAGTGATGCAAAATACTATGTGTGGGATGAACCTTATTTGTGGAAACATTGTCCCGATCAAATCATTAGGCGATGTGTACCCCAACAAGAGCATCAATCCATTTTACAATTATGTCATGAATTTGCTTGTGGGTGACACTTCGGCCTAGCCAGACCTTGAGAAAGGTCCTTGAGTGTGGACTATTTCGGCCGACCATGTCACGCGATTGTTACTTGTTTCGCAAAAGTTGTGAACGGTGCCAAATGACGGGAAATATTTCAAAAAAGAACCAAATGCCCCAAAATCCAATCCTTGTTTGTGAAAATTTTGACGTATGGGGGATTGATTTCATTAGCCGATTTCCCATCTCATTTGGTAACGTTTACATTTTGCTCGCGGTTGACTATGTTTCTAAATGGGACAAGGCCAAGGCCACAAGATCGGACGATCCCAAAACAGTTATCGAGTTTTTGAAGTCTAATGTTTTTGTAAGGTTTGGTGTACCTAGGGCGTTGATTAGTGATCGAGGGACACATTTTTGTAACAAGATGATGGAGCCTTGCTAAAAAAGTAAAATGTGACCCATCGTGTCTCTACCGCCTACCACCCTCAAACGAATGGTCAAGCGGAGGTTTCAAATCATGATGTGAAGTCTATTCTAGAGAAAACAGTGAATCGGATAAGGAAAGATTGGAGTTTGAGGATTGACGATGCCTTATGGGCCTATCGGACAACTTATAAGACCCCGATAGGAATGTCGCCCTTCAAATTGGTTTTTGGAAAACCATGTCATCTTCCCGTCGAATTAGAACACTGCGCATTTTGGGCGGTCAAGCAATGCAACTTCAATATTGATGAGGCGGGAAGGCATAGGAAGCTTCAACTCCAAGAGCTAGAAGAATTGAGAAACGACTCCTATGAAAACACAAGGATTTATAAGGAGAAAACGAAGCTCTTCCACGACAAGTCCATCACCCGGAAGCATTCAGAACCGGGGCATAGGGTCTTACTATACCATTCACGATTGAAGTTATTTCCAGGCAAGCTAAGGTCAAGATGGATTGGACCTTTTGTTTTGATAAAGACCTTTGACCATGGGGTGGTAGAAATTCAAATTGAAAAGACAGGACAAATTTTCAAAGTCAATGGGCACCGGTGGAAGCCATTCTATGAAGGTTTCAGTACTAATGCTCTTGAAATCATCCAATTGGATGTCCCGATGTGTTGAAGCAAGCTAAGAAGACGTCTCACCAAAGACGTTAAAGAAGGGCACTTTTGGAAAGAAATTTGCTTTCAGCTTTTTCAAATTCAAATAAATCATTTTACAAAGCGTTTTTTTTGGGATTTTAAAAAATAAATTTTTGACAGGTTTCACCATTCGTTCCCCGTTTTACTCCAAATTTTGTCAAATTTTTTAAACCGGGTATTACGGGGATCGTTTTGGCTTAAAAATCAAGTTTTTTTTGGAAAAATCTCATTTTTGAAATGCAGGAATGCCCTGCGGCCCGCGTGGCTTGGAAGCATAAAGTTTGCGTGGCCCGCGTAGATTAAATCTCAACTGTCATTCACCAACTCGTGGCCAGCCCGCGGGTCGAGTCTCACCCGCGTGAAAGATCAGGGAACTTAGAAATTTTTCAGCAACTAGACACGGCCAACCCGCAGCCCGCGCCCAGCCCGCGTAGTGTTTCATTACACTTAGTTTTATTTTCCATCGTTCAGGTCCCGCGGCCTTCCCGTGACCCGAGTCTCACCCGCATGAAGGATTAGAGAATTGTAGAGTTTTTGTGTGGCTAGACGCGGCCAGCCCGCGTGTGGTTGTTTGTCTGAGTTTTTAAGTCGTTGACTTTTGTTGACTGAGTTTTAATGAGTTGACCAAACATTGACCGGGTTTGACCTCTTTTTACCAAAGATCAAATACCTTTAGCACTCATCTTCTTCATTCTAACCTAACAAACTCCACCATTTTCTCTCTAGAAGCTCAAGAACTCCATAACCTACTTTCCACAAAAATCCATATTCCCGGAGTTCTACCGGTCGAAATCTCGTGAAACCACCGCCATTCTTCACCATTTTTCATCCTCTAAAAACCCCACCCAAATTTCGGTCCAATCTGTGGCTGGAATTCCGGGCGCCACCACCTTCTTTCGCGTTTTCCAGCCAACTCCAGCCACCATTGGAGATTCCGAGCACGGGGTTTTGTTTCTCTCCTCAAGGGCTTTCTAACCATAACAATCTTTCCGCAAAAACTCACGAAAAAATTCCATCTAATTTCGGGTGCCGCCACTCTAGTTGCCGGAAAGTTATCTTGAAGCTCGTTTGTGGGGTTGTTTTAGCGATTAAAGCGTCAAATACGGAGCAAAATTGTAAGCTTGGGGTATGTCTTGACGAAATCGTTTTGGTGACACTAATTCATCTCGAGTCTAAGAAATTGGGTAATTTTATTCCTTTAACTTGATTATTTATATCCCAATTTCCCAATTGTTGTTGGAATTGTGTGCCTTTGGTGTGACTTGAAAGTTACTATTGGTAAAAGTTTGTCCGGAGTAAATGTCTAAACGTGCAAAAATGGGGACGGGAGCTACCTCCTCTAAAGGAGGGTCGAAGGAAAATCCAAGGATTCCTCGTTTCGTTTGTTGAATCGTGAGGACCGCAGAACATATGATTTTCTCGTTTCAAATAAGCGTCAAGTCAAGTCAACAAAATTTCTCCATAGGGAATCTTTTGATAGTCTTGGGGTACTCGACGAAGTCCAAGAGTTATTCAACAACATCGGGTGGGGCCAATTCCTCTATAACCGCACCGCCACCTATGTTGAACCAACCTTGGAATTTCTCACCACATTCAATCCCGAAGAGGAAAGCGAAACCGTCACCTTCCAAATGCTCGTTGAGAAATAGTCCCTACCGCATCGGTTCGTGAATGCCTTGATGGGCACTCCAGTGGAAAGCCTATATTACCAACAAGACCCATGGCCCGGAAACTTTAACGAGCATCACTTTTGGCAGCAGATTACCAATGAGCCACAATATTCACCGGCTTCGTCAAAGGCCTCCTCCATAATTCACTCATGTTTGCGCCTAGCACATCGAGTACTCACATGCACTATTTTTGCCCGCTCTACAGTGGGAAAAATTTCAAAGGCAAAATTATTTTTTCTTTGGTGCATGACTCGTGAGAACGGTCCACAGCTAGATTTTGCCTCCTTTTTCTTCACCAAATGTTACAACCTCACAACTATGGACAAAGGAGACATTTTCATTGGGGGATTGATCACCCTTATTGCATCTCGGCCACCGGTTCAACTTCATCTCTCTACTCTTCCATTCGAAAAAGCTTCCGGCCCCTCTAGCCTTGACGGCCATGCACTTCGCCAAATGCAACTCGTCCAGGATTCGGTCGTTGGTCCCATGTAGATTCTTGACAACCAACCATACCTCATTCTTCCCCACGAGTATATAAGGAGTTTTAAGCCAACCGACGCCGATCAATCGATCATTCCATCAGACTACCCTCCTCCTGTAGATGATGAAGATGACCAATTTCAACTTCCACAACAATTTTCCGAGCCTCAATATCAACCACAGCAGCAGGGGGACACGAAGTCCCACCATATTTCCCCCTTACGTTCTTTGACCAATTTGCCATAATGTTCTCCACTGTCCAGCGAATCGATACTCAAACGCAGGAGAGCACTCGAGCCATCTAGGATGTGGCGACCCGTGTTGATCGGATGGAGCAGTCCTTCCCACCCACTTCCCACTAGGTCCAAGATATATGGGACTACCACTATCGCCATGGGCACTTCCCGCCGCCCGACCCTCCGATTTAGGTCTTTTCCACCCTTTCGTTAAGCATTGAGGACAATGCTTGTTCTTAAGCTTGGAGTGGGGTATTTCCCTAATCTTTTACTTTTTCATGCATTTTTAATTAGATTGCATAACATTTTAGTTTTAAGCTAATATTCATTTTTTTTATTTATATAAAATTCCAAAAAGATTTTATTTTCTTCTTTTTCACCTTTTATATTTTGCATAACATTTAGTTTAAGGCATTAGCATTCATGCATTTTTGTTGTCTGTTTATTCTCACCTCCTTGGAAACCATGGAACAGGTTCACAGTTATTGTATCATTGTTGGTCCATGATCTTGTTTCTATCTCACCCATCGAACCAGGACCACTAGCTGTAGTTTAAGAATTCATACTTGGGATCAGATGCTGGAAGCTTAAAGGGGTAAGTGATCATGGCCAGGTAGTTTCATGAAGAATTATGCATACAATACTAACAACTGTAGGATATACTATAACAATGGATGTTCTTAGCCTTGCGGTCACTACCGATTAGAGGATCACACTTGATCATGTTTGAACTGTTAGGATGAAGCATTGGTGCTTGTCCCCGAGTAAAATCCATATCTGGTCTCTCTACATCACCATACCTTTTTTTTGCGATTTTCTTAGAGAGAGTCTTTTAGTCCACATTTGGACATTTTCATCATCTTTGAAAAAAACCAAGTTTGAAAAGGAGCTTACATTACATCTTTATGCTCCACACATGGTTATTTTCACACTTAGGCCACTCGGATTATATCACTACCCTTTCAGTTCCACTTTCACACTTTTAGGAACCTAATTTTAAGTCAAAGGGTTTTCTTGTTAAAAATTCCGATTGTTAATACATTACCCTCAAGTATAACATAACAAAAGAAATCAAAAATCAAAAATCAAAAATCAATAAAAAAATTTTAAAAAAAATCAAAAAACAAAAATGGCAGTCAAATTTCTAGCTACAACTATCTGAGAAGGGTGACCGGTTCAATTATTGAACAAATTTTCCAACATTTTGGTCACCCGACATTTAATATTCATTTATATAGGCTTGTTTTATTGTATATAGATCGAGTTGTTTTTCGCAAATTGGTAATGTTAGGGAGACTGTCGAGTTGGATACTAAGTGAACTGATTCCTACAACGGTGCTCGAGCGATTAAACCCAATTACACATGAGAGAAACCGGCAGACGTGAGATCAAAGTGTACACTTAAAGAAGAGCTCCACACGAGCCTATCCAGCTGCGTTTTCCCTACTACAGATGTTCTTCATTGTATTCATGTTCCAGTGGGGCTGCGACTGCTTATCCCTCCTTACTCACCTAAAGGAGTTGTCCTGGCTGTGGTTTATGGTTCCATTGTCTTGGGATGAAAAATTCATGAGGTAATAGCAAGATCAATTCTGACCATGTTGACTAATGGTGATCAGGTTCCGCGGTTCTATCCATTCTTTTTAGTTTCCTTAGGATAGTTTATCCCGAGTTCATTTTAGTCTTGTCTTACTTGAGGACAAGTAAGGTTTAAGCTACAGGTGATTTGATAGCTTCATTTTATTTACTTCTTTTTATAGTTTATTAAGCACATTTCATTCGCATTTTAGTTAATTTCCATGCATATTTTCCTTTTTGTTATTTTTATGACCATTTTAGGTACTTTCTAGTTTCTTGAGCATTATTGCAAATTTTTTGGAGACTAGCGGAGCAGGACTTTTGGGAGGCGATTGGACTTGAAGAGCAATGGGGATTTCGTGCTTGATGGATTTGGAGGTGATTCATGGAGTGGGCTTGTCAATTACTTGAAGGTGTGGAAGTGTTGAACTTTAAATTTCAAAGGGCACGAGAGAATTATTGGGTGTGCTAGATCGATGTTTAGGAGTTTGCGGAAGTTTTGAATGATATGGAGAGACAAATTGGGCTTAAATTGAAGAAATACTAAAGAAAAATGGGCTAGAAGCTGATTAGACTCGAACTGGGCCAATGAATTATCTGTGAGGGCCCAAGACTTGAAGAAGCCCAAAATCCCGTTGTAGTCACGCGGCCCGCGTAAGATTCCCCGCAACCTGCATGGATTCCTGACAAGGGCAATTTTAGGATTTTACTTAAAGCTTTATATTGGGAAGATTGGTGTGCCTCTTCAGCCTTATCTTTGACATCCGATTTGGAGGCTTTCTCTATGGAGTTTAGAGCACTTTTGAAGGCCAAGAACACCTCTAGAACATCTTCTTTTCATCTCTTTATTTTTGTTAAATGTTTGGTACAATCTTATCTAACCTTGTTTACTTGAGTTTAGCCATGCTTGGCTAATAAATCTTGATTGACTTTTGTTGAATCCTTTGAACTTTTGTTGAATATTGAAGAATCCATGAACTTGTTCTTAAATCTTTATGGAAATGTTTGTGTTTTAACATATTATCACTACTTGTATGTTTTAGTTCATGAGTTCAAATTTATTTGTGGTGATTAGTTGGCTAATTTCTTGATTAAGTAAAGGATCCTCAAATTAGCAAGCAACAAATGATTTTTGTGTTGTTTTTGCTTCACACAATCATAAAAACATTTCCTCCAACATGGTGGTGAAAGCAATTGACCCCTCTTGGATTTTGTGACTTTTTGGTTCTTAATGCTAGTTGACTTTCACTAATTACATGCTTAATGGAAATTGTGACTTTGACTAAGGAAATTGTTATGAGCTTCTCTAACCATTTTAACAACTAAGAAATTTCTAGGTAATCTCAAGCTTTTTGGATTACTATAGCCAAATTAAGGATTTAAATCAAGTATTACACCATTGGATTTTAATGATATGTTCATCAAAAGTCAAAGTGAGGAAAACTTAAGTCAACTATCCTTCTCTAATTGATGTTACATCAAACTCTTATTTTTGTGAAATTGTTTATTTAAATCTTAGTTTAATTCTAGTTTATTTCAACTATTTCAAAAGACCAAACCCCCATATTTATATTATTGTCATTTTCAAGTATTTTTACAAAGAGATTTTTCACAGTTATAAAACTAAACTAATCTCCGTGGATTTGATCCGTTTACCACTATACAATATTTTAGTGTGTAATATTTAGGGTTATTATTTTTGTTGGCCTCGACAACCACCAGTCACATGGTTACCATTAGGGTTGTTCACAGTTCATTTTTTGATTTTTGTATCAAACCAAAGCCAAACTATTACTATTGTTTTTGTCAATAGAAAACCAGAACCAAACACCATTGAAAATTAAAACCATAACATTATTAACAATTTGACTTGGTTTCACAATTTGGAATTTCTAGGCCCATTTGAGTGAAACCCATTAGATTGCAAATTGTTGAATTATAGAGGCCTAAAGGGAACGAGTCAAATGAGGGATGGGCTTCACTCACAACACAAAGATTGGGCTTCTATTTTTATTTATAATTATAATACTCAAGATAATGAACATATAAGTTAAGTGGGTCTTTTATATATATATATATATATATATATATATATATATATATATATATATATATATATATATATATATATGAAAAACTACAATAAAATCATTACATATTAGTCTCATAATCGATTAAGTAATTATATTTTTTTTATTTAATTAAGTCCCAAAAACAGATAATTGTATTCAACTTAACCCTTTTAGTTGGTCAACATGTCATCTAAATTTCAAAAAGTATATTTTTGGCCTAGATTTTAAAATTTATTACAAATTTGGTCCAAAATTTATATTTTTGGCCACGATTGTAAATTTTATTAAAAATTTAGTCCAAAAATTACCATTTTTGCCCAAATTTTAGAATGTTGTTAGGAATTCATCATGACTTTTGGTTTTTTTACCACTTTTTTTCTCAGATTTTTGTTTCGAATATGTTTTTTCTTTATAAAATCATATGTATAAACAAACAAATTTTCACATAAAAAATCTTATATTTTCTATATAATTTTGTTTAAAACTCTTTTTATATACAAAATATCTATTAAGTACATAAATATATACAATTTCATTTGTATAATATATATATATATATATATATATATATATATATATATATATATATATACACGAACACGTATTTTACAAAACAATGTATACAAACACCTATTTTATTATAAATACATTTGTATACAACACATATTGATAAAAAAATGTAAACAAACACCCATTTCATAGTAAACGTGAGTGTGTGTCTATACACACACACACACACACATATATATATATATATATATATATATATATACACACACACACACAAAAATAGGTGTGTATGTACATTTTTTTTATAAAATCGTGTTTGTATACATTTGTTTTTAAATACGTGTTTGCATGCAAATGTACTTATAATTACATTTTTTTTGTAAAATACATGTATGTGTAGATTTTTTTTTTATAAAAATAGATTTGTATATATTTATGTACTTAATAAATAACTTTTCTTATAAATAGTTATTTCGTATACAAAAAAAGTTTTTTTTAATTATATAGAAAATTTAATATTATTTATGTAAAAATATGTTTTTTTTTTCGTATAAATATGATTTTATAAAGAAAAACCATATCCGAAACAAAATTTTGAGAAAAAAATTATAAAAAG